TTAGTCTTTTAGTACCGACGTTTGTGAAACGTAGTACCTATTTGTGTGAAAAGTTGTACCAACTTTGCTGAAAGAAAAAAAACGAAGGAATGATCCAAGTATTTATTTTTTTTGTCAGTTGATACCAGTTTTCAGTCGTTTAGTACCAGCATATGTGAAATGTAGTACCTTATTGTGTGTTAAGTTGTACCAACTTTGATGAAAGAAAAAAAACGAAGGGAATGATCTAAGCAAGTAAATTTTTGACATTTGATACCTGTTNCTATTTGTGTGAAAAGTTGTACCAACTTTGCTGAAAGAAAAAAAAAAACGAAGGGAATGATCTAAGCAAGTAAATTTTTGACATTTGATACCTGTTTTCAGTATTTTAGTACCTGGTTTTACGTTCTTATATACCCATAATACAAAACACACCAAGATATTCATGCTTTGCATGTACTCCAACAATACTAGCAAAATATTCATAGAGTACATACACGGAATATGTCGATAATGTATCATCATAAAACATATTCCTACAAAATACAAAATACTCGAAATAAAAACACAACAATGATCTATATACGTTCTTTGCAAGTACGATGATTGTGTCCACGGCCACCACAACGCTTGCACCGCCTAACCGCAACATCTACTTGTGATGGCATCCTTTTTTCCTTCCTACGTCCGGGNACATTACTAGCAAAATATTCATAGAGTACATACACGGAATATGTCGATAATATATCATCATAAAACATATTCCTACAAAATACAAAATACTCGAAATAAAAACACAACAATGATCTATATACGTTCTTTGCAAGTACGACGATTGTGTCCACGGCCACCACAACGCTTGCACCGCCTAACCGCAACATCTACTTGTGATGGCATCCTTTTTTCCTTCCTACGTCCGGGTTGAGATCGTACATCCGGGGCACGAATGACTTCATCATAATGTAAAGAGGCTACGTCATGGTCGTAGTTCGGTATAGGATTAATAGTACCTTGATAAGCTTGCATATACATCCCAATACGGTAATAAGAATCACAAAAATCGTAGATGGACATTGACTTACTCTCAACACAAGCACATGCATGCTTGCATGGCAACTTAGAAATTTGCCATTCTCTACAAGAACAACTACGTAGTTGCAAATCCACGGCACAAGTTTTATCGGCATCCACAACCTCAAACCTCCATTCACTTGATTGNTGCGATTTTTTTCTCGATCTTAGGACAAAACAAACCCTCGAACCGTGACACTCCTTCACGCCGGTCATGCATCATGGTCATAATTTGTTTCCTTATATGATCCACCATGGCTACAATAGGCATATATCGTGCCGGCTTTACCCAACTATTCCAACATTCCGCTTGATTGTTATTGATGATACCCATCGGTCTCCGGGAAATAAGGAGTTTGCCCAACATTGTGGTTTAGACTCCAAAATGAATTCTCTAGCAAGAGGCATAGACGTCAANATATATGCCATGATTTATATGCATGTCAAGATATATAAATGTATGTCACTTATATTATGAATTTACTAAATATAAAGGAATTTACCTGTTTCTTAAAGTTGTCGACCAAGTGTCTCAAACAATAAGCATGATGACTCCCGGGAAAAACCATAGGGATGGCTTTAAGTAGCCCACTATGTCGGTCCGAAAAAAATGTGAAGCTTCTAAACACGGGTAAGCCCGAGGAAAGAAAAGCATTATTCAACTTCAACCAAAACCACTCCCAATTCTCATCGGTCTCACCATCAACCACAGCAAATGCAATCGTGAACAAATCATCGTTGGCATCCTTACTCACGGCACTAAGCAAGCAACCTTTGTACTTATTTTTTATGTGAGTGCCATCCAAAAATATCAACGGTTGACATCCGCTTAAAAAACCAACAAGGCACGCATTAAAGCAAATGAATAGTCGGAGAAATTTATTCTCGACGGGGTCGATCTCACAATTGGCAATGCTTCCCGGGTTTGTGTGACGCACCGCATTACAATACCACCCCAATCTCTCATAAGAGCCCCGGTCTAGTCCATGAATCTCATGCACGGCAATTTCCTTCCCCATCCATGCCTTTTTGTAGTTCAAGTCCAAGCCGTAGTCCCTATGAAGGTCTTTTATTATCGTGCAAAGCTTGTATGATGGTTGATCTCTCAATTTCTCCTTTATTATGTTTGAGACCCAATTAGAGTCGGCCTTCGGATGCCCCCTTGTGCGAAGATTGCCTACTCCGCAAGTGTGGACTAGATTGCAATTCCGGATGGCAAACAAATTATCCGCTTTGTGTCTCGATGCATATATTCTCCACTTACATCCCTCGTCGCTACAACAAACAATGACCTTCATGCTATCATTTTTATGATATTTGAAAGACCGCCTATTAGCAACCGCGTAGTTTTTAACGCGCTTTCGAAAATCATCCGTGCTAATGAAAACTTGTCCTTCCCCTTTGATGCAATTTCTCCACGACTCAATCGAATTATCGTCCAATGGAAGCTCCGATTCTCCCTCCGATAAATCATCATACGGTATAATATCCCTACATTTGTAAACATAAATAATGGAACGTTACTTAAAATAACATAACAAGGATATCATACAACCATACCATATTTCAATAATAAATTAATTAATATTATAGAAGCTCCATTACCTACTCATGTTCATCGGGAAGGATGGAACCCCATGATCCGTTCTTTGATTTTTTTCATTGGCAACTATCTCTATAATATTTTCTTTCCAACACAAATGGAATCGAACCATGTTTTTCACATCCTCATCGTCCGCCAAGCTAACTTGCTTTTTACCAATTGGCGCAATATAACATAACTTCACGGATTCCACATTCACATTTGGCCACCTCTTACCAATGACGGTGTACATTTGGTCAAGAGTTGATTCATGGTTCATAGAGAACACAAAATATTCATTGTTGTAGGTACAACTTGCTAGTATATCAATTTGTCCACCTTCCATTGTATCTAACAAAAATTGAATAAAACAAATAACATGTTACACTTTCCCAGCAGCAGTGGTATTATTTAGTCATTCCAGTGGTACTAGAGTTTCAAAAAGTGGTACCAATAGCATGCATAATGGTACAAGAATCATAGTCACCTTAGTTTTTGTTTCAAGGTCATTGATACACAACATAACTAACTATCACGTCAATTTCGTATGTATGAACAAGAGAAAATAGATTAAGGACAACAATACACAAAATTCAAAAAAATTAGGGCAAATATACAAAATTGAACCCTTTCCAAATTAACTAAAAAATTATGAATACAAGACTTTGTTTGGACTCCACATTCAACATATAAATACACACATACACAATACTTCAAATTTCGCCCGGAAATCGCCCCAATATTGCCGGAAAAAAATAAAAAAAAATTAACCTTCAATATGTAAAAAAATTGGAACCGGGTTCCCGTCAACTCTTCAAGTTCTTGTCACCACCGTGCCTTTCGCTGGATTTACGATCGCCGGAGACCAAAATTAGCAAGGAAAAAAAAAAAAACACTGAAAATCGGGAGTGAAGGAATGAGGGAGTGGATTGTGGAAGAAGATTAGAACTAATATGATGTGTGATGTGATGTGTGTATTTTATTTATCATTTTTTTTAAACATAGGGAGTTTATTGTAAGATATTTAGTGTAATAGGGAGTGAAAAGGAATTTTTTTTTGTGTGGGAACTGAAATGGAATATGAAAAAGGGTTTAGGTACTTTGTAGGAAAAGCCCCTTAAAAAAAATGACAATTGTAATTTCTTAAATATTGTGTGATTTGAAAGGATTTTAGAGCTGTCACTATGTGGTTTAAAACACAAGCGTAGTCGTTATGTCTGGATCAGGCTGCTCAGAACAAGGAATGACTTGTCTGTCTAACAGTCACATATACAAGAGATTAAATTTTTTCCCCTTAAAAAAAAATAAATAAAAAAAAAAGAAGAAAGAAAGAAATCAGGCAATTGATAAGTGCAGAGGAGCATACTATGCGTAGGAGCAGACGATGATTGAAATTTGAAAAGCTTCTCTTCCCAATAATATGAATATGATGGGGTGCCCCTCATCAACGACAATCAATCTTCCGCCGGCGATAAATCCCCACACAACCCCAACTGAGGCGCTCATATTTCTCCAGAAATGCACGAACCTCGCCCAAACAAAGCTGGCCCACGCCAAAATCGTCCGGAACGGCCTTCACCACCATCAATTAATCGCCGCGAGTCTCATTCGCCTCTACTCTTCTTGTGGGCGTCTCGATTACGCTGCTTCTGTTTTTCAATTTGTCGACAATCCGTCAACGTTTGTCTGTAACCTAATCATCCGGGCCCACACGGTGAACGGCCGGCCAGCGCGGGCCATCGTGCTCTACAATTCGATGATCTGCAGTGGCGTTCGCGCGGACAAATTCACCTTCCCCTTTGTGATAAAAGCTTGTCTGGCTTGTTCTCGTGTGGACAAGGCCAGAGAGGTGTACGGACTTGCCGTCAAGACCGGGCTTTCTGAGGACATCTACTTGGGCAACGTGCTCTTGGATCTCTACTTCAAGTCCGGGCTTTTGTATGATGGGCTGAGAATGTTTGATAAGATGCGGGCCAAAAACGTTGTGTCGTGGACTACAGTTATTGCGGGCCTTGTTCGTAATGAAAGAATCGACGTTGCCCAGAGGTTTTTCGACAAAATGCCTACTAAAAACGTGGTTTCTTGGAGCTCTATGATTCATGGGTACTCCAAGAGCGAAAATCCGGGCCGGGCTTTTGAGGTGTTTGTGGAGGCGCAGAGCAATAATGTGAGGCCAAATGAGTACATGTTGGTTGGTGTTTTAACTGCTTGTGCTGAGCTGGGGAGCCTCAGATTTGGGCGTTCGGTGCATGGATTTGCAGTGAGGAATGGGTTTGAGAGTGGGGTTTTTCTTGGGACAGCCCTTGTTGATATGTACAGCAAGTGTGGCAGTTTGGGGATTGCGAGACGGGTTTTTGGGAATATGGATGATAAGAGTGTGGCCACGTGGAATGCAATGATTTCTAGTTTTGGAGTTCATGGGTTTCACAAAGAGGCCGTTGAGTGTTTTGAGGAGATGGAGAAGATGGGAGTGAAGCCTGATGCAGTGACTTTTGCGGGGCTCGTTAGCGCTTGCCTGAAAATGGAAAGTCTCGAAAAGGGCCGTGAGTACTTGTATTGTGTGATTAATCGGTATGAGGTTATGCCTAGCTTCGAGCATTATGTTCTGATAGATGAGATGCGTGACCGGTGATCGTCAATTGATATCTTGTGTTGTTTCTTTCAAAGTACGCTTTCTTGGCATCACTAGTTTAGTAATTTGGAAGAAGATTATGAGTAATATGCCCATTAAATAGAAAAAAAAAAAAGAAATCATCACTCTTTGATATCGAAAAGTGGGTTTGAAGACGAAGCAGCTTTTAGTCCCGAGTCACCTGCTAAAGCATTGTGAATGTTCAGAAGTTTGAGGCTTGGGATATAATTGAGTTAATGTGTTTGACAATGGAGAAGTAGCATAATCCCATGCTATAAATGGCAGTAATCAAGTGTTGTACAGAAGAAAAACAAGTCAGCTCTTATAATATATGGTGGTCAGTGAATTTACCCTTTGCCATGATATCAAGATCACTATAGTATAGAAGATCTACTAGGTAGATGTTGAGAACTTTCTGTGATATATCTGTTTCCAATTGAATGTGTGAGTGTAAGTAAAGGACTAGTTCTAAGCATTTTGGCAGAAAGTCCTGGCAATTCTGGGAGTAGTGTTGGATTACTCGATGAATATTCACACCTGCAGAAGTACAAAGTTCACTGAAAATATCTCAAGTGGAAAATGGCAATAAATTCAACTCTATCTATTTATCTAGTGAAACAAGACCTAAGAATGATGCTGAAGTGTAAGAAAAGAAAGTAATAACCGGAACCGAACCAAGTTTTCAGGATGGATGGATTTGGTATTCAATTTTTGTGTTAAGTCAATCTGTAAGATAGAGCAATCATACAAGTGTTTCGAGTGCTTTTAATATAGCTTCTGAGTCATTCATGAGAAATTTTCCAACGCTCCTATCAGAATCAAACCCGAATATTTCAAATCAAGTACTTATTCTAGCAGTAGAAAATCTCCAAGAGCATTTAAGCCATGAGATGCTACATTTATAGTTTAGAAGCATCTGTATTGGCCATCTTATATTACACAAATATTGATCTATGACATTGTTTACAAATCAGTACTGCCATTACAAGTCTTTTATGCAAGTTAATCTTGATTCAATTCAAGTGTAGGCTCTAGACCAATAAAATCTTATTCATGTTAATCATTGATAACAAGGTTTACCTGGTAATTAAGGTAGGGTCAGGGGCACTGTGCACAAATATTCTCGCATCTTTGGACTTGCCATATGAAGGTGAAAACTGGAAGTTCTAATAATCATTCTCAGTTGCCACCAAGAACCTGGTCGAAAGCTTGTATATCGAGACAAGGACTATGCCAGCTGCCTAGTCATCCACAAACTATGACGCTTTTTGAGATTAAAATTTTCAGCTACCTTAGCCAAATAGTTTATACTGTGTATTGAGTACAAAAGTTATGTTTCTACTCTGCAACCTTATAGTCTTCGTTTCATAGAGAAGTACACAGCTTGAACTACAGTATTAACATTGTTATACTCAAATTTGTAACCCATGAGACTCAAAATAATTTGCAAGATAACAGTTATGGATTTTGGTGTTTAGGAAAGAGGAAATTCCATTAAGTCCCAACTTTTTGTAAGTGAATCAACATGCTTGAATTTTATTCTTTTTCAATAGAAGACTTACATTTTAAATTATTCTTAATTTAGGGCCTACTTCTTTTATTAACTTTCCATTATAAGGCCCAACTAACTTTGCTTTTTAACATAACCAACTATTATATGAATAAAAATATTATTATTATTTTTTCATGTAATTTATATTTTACATACTTGTAATAAAAAAATAATAAATATCTTTATTAAAATTTCCTTAATAAAGTAAAAACTGAAACTATATAAATTATATTTGTGAAATATTTCAATAATACTTATCTTAAAAAAATGATAAGTGACTTTGAAAATATGTAATTAAAATATTATTTTATTAATAAACTAAATATGTACTATGGTATCAAATTTTGCTTTTAAAAAGAAAAGTTAAAATCGTGAAAAGCTAAAATGAAGGAAAAATTATTAAAATATTATTTTTTTATTTTAGTTCATATTTATATTATTAATAAAAATAATATTTCAATTGCATATTAATTTTTAAAAATAATCTTTATTAAAGTTTTGTATAATTGTAATTTATATAGTTTTATTTTATTACTAATCTAATTTTACTAAAGATATTTATTATTTTTTTTTATAAGTATGTAAAATATATATTACAATAAAAGAAAAATAATATTTCTGTTGACATAAACAAACATAATAATTGGTTCACATATTTATGTCAAAAAGTAAAGTTAGTTGGACCTTGTAATGAAAATTTAACTAAAAATATAGGCTTTAAATTGAGAATAATCTCAAATATAAGTCTTTTATTGAGAATGAATAAAATTCAGGCCTTAAATTGATACAATTACAAAACGTTGAGCATTGAAACTTTATCTTAATAGTTTTAACTTTTAAGGTTTATCCCAAACTCCTACAGTAGTGCAGGTTGTTGTTTATCTAACTGCTCGTGTGTAGTAGTCCATTTTCTTGTTTTAGGGTCGCAAACATATTTTTCTATCAGTCATGTTTATTAATTAAGCCAAGTCCTAATGTTACCATTAACATTACTACTTGTTTTTGTTTTTGGTACAATGAACCTTCCGGTTTCCGAATCCCCTAGGGGACCGACTAATCCGGAATCGAGCCGGGTAGGACCACAAGGGCGGCAAAGCTCTACCTCAAGAGTTTTAACACAGCTGCATTCCCAGGGCTCGAACTCGAGACCTCTGGTTAAGCTGGGAGAGACCCCAACCATCTCACCCACGTGCTCTTGGGTAACATTACTACTTGTTTGATCCTAAAAGATATTTTAGGACTACTTATGTTTATTAATTAACCTGCGTTTCATATCGTGATGTTTTAATTTGGAGTCGAAGCGTAGGATTGATTTTTCACTTTGAAAAGTGCGAATATTTTACTCCAATGTTGTGAAGTGAGTCTGGCAGGTGTGGCGCGAGATGGTATCATCCAAATTTTGGAGCCAGGATGAAAGGATTGTTTGAGTTAGTTGCAGTATTTTTTTCACTTTGAATGTAGGAAAGTTCTGGTTGAAGAGAAGTTCTATAGTAGCGGGTGACACATATAGGCAAGAGACTTTTTTATATAAGTTAGTTTTTGTAGCCATATCTTAGTGTTGAGTGTAGGTTTTTGTTTTGTATATCTTTCAAGCCAGGGATATATATATACAGTTTTGTTATGGAGCCATCGAATGGCTCAGCTTATGGAGCTATCCACAGTTATTCACAAATGGTGTATTGACACATGTACTACAATAAATACACATTGTACACGTGTCAGTATAAAAAGTTATGGATGGCTTCATAAATAAGCCATCTGATTACTCCATAGAATTTCTGTATACATATATATATATATAGGGGGAAGAAGAATGCGTCCAGTTCTTATAATGCGGACAACTCATAGCAACTACAGACAACTAACCTAGCTACTACTAACCTAGCAACTACAAAGAACTAACCTAGCAACTAGTAACTTAGCAACTACAGAAAACTAACTTAGCAACTAGTAACCTAACAACTACAAAGAACTAACCTAGCAACTACAAAGAACTAACTTAGCAACTACAAATAACTAACATAGCAACTACAGAGAACTAACCTAGCAATTACAGACAACTAACTTAGCAACTACAGACAACTAACCTAGCAACTACATAGAACAAGCCTAGCAACTACTAACCGAACAACTACAGAGGACTAACCTAACAACTACAGAGAACTAACCTAGCAACTACAGAGTGTGTCATGGGCCAATATATTGGCTGGGCTTGGTAATGGGTTTGGGCCATTACCAATTTTCCCACAACCTTTCTCTCAGCCCACTTTCCCACAACCTTTCTCTCAACCCACCCGATCCCCTTATTTGGGCCTTCCAATTTTTGGACCTGATCCTTAGCCCACCTACCAACATTTAGCCCATTCCACTCAACTCTCACCCCAGCCTGCTACACAACCCAAGCCCGTACCCATACAATCCTCCCAACCGGCAATCTCGCATCCCACCCCTCAACCCGTCTCCTGCCACCACCAAGCTCCCACCTCCAGTCAACCGACAGTCGCCGGACACATGGCCCACGACGGCGCCGGCGCCGGCACAGCCACCGGAGGATCTCAACCGGCCGGTATTCCAATCTGGAATGCTCCAGAATTAATTTCTACGACCGGAATTCTCGGTGCTAGGCCAATCTCAACCTCTCCGACCGAATAAATCGCCGGACTAGCCAACTTTGATGCCGGAGAATCTGAACCGGACGTCTTACATGTTTGAGAAGACGGTGTGGTCGTTACGAGGCCGAGCACGACGTCCGCGACTAATTTTACCGGACAACCCCCGATTGGGGCAACGCCGGCGAGCGACCCCACGGCCAACCCCACCGCAGTCGGGCCTCCTCCGAGCCAACCCAATGGCCCACTTTCGTTCCGGGAGGCTAATTCCGGGAGGAGAGATGGTGGCACGGGTGCCCCGCGTCTGACACCCAAGGATTTCAACTTTGACGGGGGATATGAGCATGCATGCAGGACCATTATCCGCTCGGAAGGTAACAAGGTGAAGGCCCGATTCACTCAGACCGAAGCTGACGCCCTTGCCTGAAAGTTAGCTAACACCATGGTTTTTAAGTTTACTTATGCTATCCCCGCCCCTCGAGATATATCTGCTGGATTAGGTAAACTGGGTTTTAAGGGTAGAGTGTTGTCTAAGTGGTACAATTTCAACCACCTCCTAGTCTCTTTTCACCTCCCCGAGGCGAGGTTTGGCTTAAGACCTCGATTCATGTGTGTGGATGCCCAGCTAGGGCGTTCAAGTATACTTCCGGGTTTAACTCGGAGACGGAGACGCCTGTTGTCCCCGTGTGGTGCCGTCTTCCCGGCCTTCCACCCTGATATAGCCACATAAGGATAACCCGGTCCAGAAGCTTATTACTCAACCGGCGAACCACTCAAATTACTCGCACGTCGACATGACTCCGTCGACATGCCCAAATCGACTTCCCAAAGGTCGATCT